AGGGTTCCGGGCCTCGGGGAGCTCAGAGCCAGCAGAATCAGGAAAGAAAAGGGAACAGAAAGAGGACTGGCACAGCAGCAAAATCAGCCTTCACTTGTCATCTCTACATGCTTAAGAAAGATTAGGACGTGGAAGAGCCCCTGGGACACAGCAGCTCGGAGAACTCCACAGCAAACAGGGTGGGCGCAGGTTTCATTCAGCAGGACACACACGCAGCAGTGGCCGGAGGACTGCGTGGAGGAAGGATCTGGAGGCTGAGATTGACTGGTAAGGTCTGCCATGGTTTGCATCTGGAGCACTGGCAGGACCCAGTCCATGACTAGTTCTGTCTGAATATGAAAACCTGTTTCTAGACTGGATACATGGAAGTAGCCTAATGGAGAGGAGGAAACTGAAGAGAACTAGACAAAATGGCAGTGCCTCCAAAGCAGACCAACAGAGTGGGGCCTGTGGTTTCCATAGCCACTGACGGATCACCCACCAACCTACCCCTGCCTGAGGAACTCCACAAGACACCTCCTAACTCCCAGCCTCACAGATACTGCGTGGGCCAGACAACGGCAGTCCTGTCCTGATAGCACGTATGCTTGCTCAGCAAAATAAATTCCCTGTAGACATGGGTGCAGTGCTGCCCTTAGCTGTCTTCAGTGAACTTCCACGAGGAGCCGCTCAGGAAGGCCTGCGTTTATGCACTGCGTGCACTGCTATCGTCTTAAGAGAATACACTGTAGGGGTGGGCATGCGTACTTGAAACACTATGTAACTACACCCTGCCACTCTCATCAGCAAAGCGCCCTTCTGGTGGGAGGGACGCCCCAGTCTCCCCAGGAGCCACTTCCTGGGGCTATAGCTCTCCTGCTCAGCCCATCCCCTCACTGGGGAGTAAATTCCTACCTTACGGCTTTTTATTTGTTTTTTTTTTTTACTTTACTTTGGCTTCAGTAAACCTGTGCTTATCATTACATGTGTGGGGGGGGGGGCTTAATTCTTTGCTAAAGGAAGGACCTAGACTGATACCCAATTGGGACTACCAATCAGTAACATCTTCCACGTATTATGAAGAGATGGAAGTTCTGGGTGCTTCTGCAAGTCTATACAAGTGAAAAGACATCATCAGCACAATGAAGAAGCATGCAGGACATTTACCAGGTGCCACAGGCAGAGCTGGTGGCCACATGGGGGGAGGGGAAGGAGGGGATGTGAAAAGCAGGCAGGGAGCTGGGCGGGGGGGGGCGGGGGGGGACACAGCACAGCTGCCCTGTCTTAGAACCTCTGAACACACACCAGACATGAGAGCATGAAATGAGGTTGGGCAAGGGTAGTGAGCCAAATCCCTCTTGGGAGGTGGGGGTGGAGTGGCATCTGACACCCTCAGTCCTAGGACATCCATATTGCAAGAATTACCATGTCCCAGAGCCCCCAGCTTAGCCTGCCAGTCAGAAGAAAGAGGGGGGCCATAAAGCCAGGAGGACAAGGAAGGGAGAGGGGAAGAAAGGAAAGCTACTCCCAGAACAACTTACATACTTAGTGAGCATTCATGAGGTCTACAGTCCGGTTTTAAGCACATCCTCTGCTCAGTAATCAGAGTGCAACACACTCTGACACACACATATTTATAGCTGAGGAAAACCTTCTACTCATGTTGACCATCAGCCTAAGGAGATGAGTACTGTGTGTAACAGGGGCCTTTCACCATGCTCTGTGCTAGAATCTTTCCCTGCTGCTGTTAGTTCCCCAGACTTCCTCCTATAGCCAGGCTTCTTCCACACTTTATCCAAGACCTTTGGCTCGACCTGACATCATTTTTCACAGATCTTCCTTCTTCCTCCAAACATTCCTAACAATTTATCTGTCCTCAGCTCCAGCCAGCCTTTCTGGAGTCATGCAAAACTCCTCTTTCTCCCCCCCCCC